AGCATGCTTCAGCACCTTCAGACAGGGGGACAGAATGTAATCTGGTAGATTATAGATAGTGCATGTTTTGCTTACAGAGTGTAGCCATCGGCGGCCGCATTACTGAATCCCACGGCGAGCAGCTTTCATTATGCTAGTTGTGCAGTTCTTTGTTTGATCACGCGTTCCTCAGTCGAGGCTAGCTTATGCGGCGGAATAAATTAAAGAGATGTAAATCTGTGAAGACGAAATCACCGCGTTCTCAATACGCCCTGCACTCTTTTATTTCATTTGTAGTAAGAAAACCAAGAAAACCAACAGCTCAAGTGTGAGCCTAAGGCACCTCAAGTCAAAGGTACGATTAGACAATATATATATCTAACATGTTAGACAAACATCTGGAAATAAGGCTTTGCTGTTCCTATCGATGTAATCTTATGTAATAAATTTTATGCACTACCACCCCCGAGGTTCAATGGATTAAAACCATCTGTTACGCACCTGTTATAAAATGCGTATTGTACGTGTGTGTGTGCATGTGCATGCGTGCGTGTGCGTGCGCGCGTGTGCGTGCGCGCGGTTTTGTGTGTTTGTGCGTGCGTGCGTGTGCGTGCGCGCGTTTTTGTGTGTTTGTGCGTGCGTGCGTGCATGCATGCGTAACTTGCGTGCTTGCGTGTTTGCGTGCGTGTGTAACGATGGGTTTCTTATTATTGTCTGTTATCCGTGATGGCGTAGTAGTCGGCGTATAAGATCAGAGCTACCGTTGTTCATATGCGTATATAACTTACTCAACAATGAAGTTACGTACGTAAAGTACAAACATCTTTAATCGTAATAAACTACTCTAACGTATATGCCCATGGGGCCGAGCAGAACGTGTACAGATTTGTACGCGACATAAACATAAACTTACATATCGAACGGTGATGTGGATAGCGATGGCAACAACAGTAAAAGATACGTATCGAGTGTGATTTGCAAATAGTAGAGACGGAAAACAAATATGTAAACGCTTAAGTATCCGCGTCGGTTCTATTGTCTTAGACCTGGTCACGCGGGACACACACCGCCCGCGCTCATTGGCTGCCTCTTCCCGTGGTCGTTGGTCACGCGTTAGCTTGTGTCTGTTTGTTTGTGTGCGCGTGTTAAACGTTACTTACGAATCACTTAATTTCACCCGTAGCACATAATTATTTCCACCCCGGCAGGTCATTGCGATGCGCTACGCCATACAACTGAGCAAGGTGCGTCGAGACGTCGGCGGATCGCTGGACAAGCGCCACACGGAGTGGGAGCGCCACAGAGTCATCCCACGCCACCCGCACTACAGGGTCAGCCAACGCACGCTCTCAATTGGCACGGTCCGCCGCGACTCCAACGGCAAGTTCGTCTTAGACATCGCCGATTCTACCGAGCCAGCTCGTGTACCTCCGAGCTCACGCAGCGGTAAGGCAAGCAGCAGTCGGGCGAGCGGCCGCGCGAGGGAGAAGTGTCACAAGCCGGGGAGTCGCGTGCGCGCGGACGAGGCTGGGGTGATCCATTACGGCCACTACAACATACGGTGCCAGGAGAAGGCACGCAGCAACGAGCTTCGTCCCACTCACATCTCCATTCAGGAGAAGGCACGCTGCAGCAACGATACTCGTCCCACTCACAGCTCCATTCATGAGAACGGGCCAGGGCCAGGCAAGCCTCGTCCCACTCACAGCTCCATTCAGGAGAACGGGCCAGGGCCAGGCAAGCCTCGTCCCACTCACATCTCCATTCATGAGAACGGGCCAGGTCCAGGCAAGCCCGTCGGCAGAAAGGCAGAAGGCCTGACGGCCAGCAGAGCTCCCTTAGACGAAACTCCACCGACGACCAAGACTCTTGTTGCGAAACAAGTTGGCTTGCAGAAGGTCCTAACCTCCCCGTGCACCCACAATCCCTACTTGCATCAGGCAGCCCTTGAGCCGGACACGGGGACCTGCGGGCGGCAACTCCTGCGCTCTCCTGCCGACGTGGAGAGTCACGTCGGATTCGACAACCCGTCGTTCAGTGACCGCCAGGTGGCGCGCGTTCCGCCGTCGCCGCAGCGGCATCAGCGGCCGAGCGATGGTCATCACGCGAGTGGACACCGGCCAGCAAGGGTCAAGTACAACGACAGCAGTTACGCAGACAGGGACACGACACGCAGCGATTTCACGACTCCGCGTCTCGAGAGATTCGCGGAGGACGGAGCGATCGGTGCGGGGTCGCGGCCGGCGTCCAAGCAGGCGCAGCGTCATCGAAGAGGCGCTCCGAAAGATGCGACCGATCCTCCGCAAGAGAACGGAAGATCGCCAGAGTTCGAGCCTGCGTACCTGAACCGCCAGAACGTGAAGCTGAACTCCTACCTGCACGACCCGACCAGCATTCACAGCCCGCCTCCGGGTTGCAGAAGCATGACGTCCGGCACGTCGGGTTACGTGGGATCGCGGGGGGCAGTGGACGCGCGCTACCCCACCGGCTACTTCCTGCCAGCGAGTCGAGAGCAGAACAGCCCGTCTCCCAACGACAGCAAGAGCAGCAGCGGCTTCAGCAGTGGCGCCACCTGGCAGGTGGCAGCCGACCTCGAGCCGTCGCCGCGCGGTTCCCTCGACACGCCCACTGCTTGCCAGCACGCCGGACTAACGTCGCCCTGCGAGGACCCGTACGAGTTTGACATGATCAGCTCCCGCGCGCCATCTAGCGAGCGCGCCATAAGCGTTCGCAGCAAGACGTATCGTGAGACGGATCTGGAGAAGGACTCACACGTGCAAGGTGAAGGAAGGCAGCCTGAGTATAGCAATGCTGCTCAGAGATGTGCAGCGCTGAAGGAAGAGTTTGAGCAATACAGGCAGCGCAGACGCTTGCTTCTACAGCAAGAAGTGATGCTGTGAATCTGCCTTCACTCGTACGCACTCTCACGTGCGGGAGTGTACGTAGTACGACAAGGTAGTGGCCATGCAGTTGCTTTACTGCTTCGGTCCACTCGCTGGTTCTTATATAAGATTTTATTGCGTTTTGAAAAAGTAAATCAGCTTTGTTACTGCAATTTGTTCGGCACTAATGTATTTTGCAGATACATTGGATCTGCTGTGATCATTAGTTTATTGATCATGTAGAATGTTGACAACGTGGCAGAACTAATGTAAAACATCTGCCAATATTTGCTTATTATAATTTTCATGCCCTCGTTACAAAATTGTTGTGTAGCCTTGACATAAAGGGTGGGGGGGGGTGATTCTAATCTGTACAGTTTGTCTTGATATTAGCTACTGGACAGTTTTATAGATGGGTAGATGGGATGAGTGAGTGAGTGCGTTTTTCTGCGCTGAGAATCGAACATATCAAGAGGAGCCACCGTTGTGATTATAGTACCTGTAATCTCATACTAAATAATTATTATCAATTTAAATACTTACCCGTCACAGATGTAATGTTACACCGATTTGCCTGTAAATAAGATTTGTGCTGCAATGCTCTATGTTTCCATCTGTTCACAATCCTATTTGTATGATCATTTATGGGGAAAAAAATATCGAACTTCGTTTCCTCATATCTAGCTTTAGCCCCAGTTAGGCTTAGTGCGCAATTATCTGCAAAATATAGGTTGAATATTTCCTCAGGGTCAAATTATCCTCAGTCTGCATTACACATCGTTTTAATTTGGTTAGATCTTAAGGTTAGCAGTGATATAGCACCGGGGTACCTAATCAATACCCGAGACAATGGGTTCAAGATTAGACCATAGATTATGCATAATAAATAAATTCCATCAATTACGATACACTATGTCGATGACGATTTATCGATTCATAACTTGAATAAAACAAATCGGTCAAGTTCTGGCTTGAATAGTAGCGTCTATCGCTACCGAAAGCCACTGATAGAAGTAATTTGTTATGCATGTGCTGTATGATCTTGAATGAAAGGATCCTTTGCTCGGTTGTTTTTTTTTGATTGACTGTTATGGCACAATTGACGGTTGTTTAGTGGACCATTTCTTGTTGATTGATTTATTTGCCGGTTAGCGAAACCTTTGGAGAGTATATGGCAAGCTGGCGTTCATCATTGGCTGATGTGTCGTTCTACTGAGCTTCTTGTCAGCTTACACACACTCTGTCACACATACACACACTCTCTCTCTCTCTCTCTTTTTTCTCTCTTTCTCTCTCTCTCTCTCTCTCTCTTTCTTTCTTTCTCTCTCTCTCTCTCTCTCTCTCTCTCTCTC